CTTGGACAGAGCAGCCCCTTCCTTTGTACTGGAGCGACGAGATTTTTCCTTCAGAGTGGGTACGATCGGGGCTTCAATTGGGGTGGTGATGGTGTTGGTGCTGCTGCTGTTGCTGCTGATAGCTGTACTAAGGGCTGGAGGGCTTGTAGCCTCGGAATTAGGAGTGGGTTTTGGCGGCAACGTGGAGAGTCGTTGACTGGTCTCAGTCGTAGAAGGGGTCTGAGTCTTGGCGGGCGGCGGCAGTGTCTGGGCCTTCTTTTCAGCTTCCGTCTAAAAGAGCAGTCAATTTGAGGTAACAACAAGGCCAGCCGATATAGAAACTCGGCCGAACGCTCAGGGGATGGGGTGGGGGGAGGGGCGATAAAAGTGGCCAGGGGGAAGGCCTCCGTTTGATCTGTATGGCCCTAGGAACCAGTTTTGTGGGTTTTGCAGAAAACAAAAAAGAGGGGGCGGCTAGGTTTCTCGGGAAGATTGGCCCATCCCCCGCCTCCGCAGATGGCGGGGTTAAGCGCAGCTAGATTTACACGCCGGGTAAAGTGCAGCACACTTGTGAACGTAAACACTAAATACAGTGCCCAAGAGTCGAGTGCGGGAAAGCGGGTAGCCGATGCTCAAGTCTCAATGTAAATAGTGTGAAAACAGAGTAAACAAACAAAAGAATTCAAAACGGGCATGGGCGGCATAATGCCAAAACAGCGATTGAATAATGCGCGCCGCGCAGTTTACGCAGACGCATGAGTGGAGAAGTGGCAAATAGAGAAAAAAAGCCAAGGAAGAGGAGGGCGCGATCAGAAGGATCTGGGCTTTTCATCCAGTGGTTGTTGAACTACTGTCCTACTGAAGAAGGGTGAACACCGGCACTTACCCGGAGCCGCGGTCAGACAGTGAAAAAGCCGTAAAAAGACTGTTAAAAGGGATTCTTCAGCAGCTGTACGGGAGAGTGTGACCAAAAAAATAGTAAGGTTGTCTCTTATAAAACACACTCATAAATGAGGGAATTTTCACGCAAAAGTACGGACAAACAACGCAAACTGTGCGAATAGATAGTGCAGCAGCGAAGGAGGGGAGGGAGCGGGGGGTTGGGAATTGAAACAACTTGAGTCGACTTCCTGTCTTAGTGGAAAATGATTCCTCTTACACATGCCCGACCAGCTGTCATCCAGAGCAGCCCCTCTGTGTTGTACCGAAATTTGGGCTTTTTGTGCATAAACCAGGGGGTGTCGTGGCACACGTAATTTTTGTTTAAATGTACGCTCTGACCAGGCTGAGTATGATGGCTTATACGACACGGAAGCTCAGATTGTGTGGGCTAGAAATTGCGTTGGGTGTTGATGGTAAGCATGGATGCAGACTCAGACACCAGCCACCCGTGGCCTTTATGGCAATCCCACCCCGTGGATTCTGTATCTGGCTTGGCGGATGCGGCCCCCTTCCCCCGATCTCTCCTTGGGCGGGGGGAGAAAAAGATAGCGTGGTATATACAATGCAAGCCTACTATCACTTAAAGCTAATCCACACGTAAGTCACCGTCCCTCGTGAACGGCTATCGTAGGACGTTGATTGGAACGGCCAGCCCAGTTAGAGTACTTCGAAAGAAAACAAAGCTCTTACTAATGCTGCTCTTATTGCTCAGTGCATGCAAGAAGATGGCTTGCTATCGAAACGCAATGGCCCAGCCAAGAGGGGGGGGCAATATTTTAATTGCTTTCTATGCATACGAAACCACTAAGGCGGGAGACCAGGTTCTACCTATTGGCTTTCTGGTCGGCGAACATGTCAGAGTGCATGCAACCTGTGGTGGTGGGAAGCCTCGTGTGAGCTGGTCACAGAGGTGGCAGGAGACTTGCAAATTCAGACACGAGAGGAAGCAACCCCCGCCAACCGAGTCATCATATGCGAAAATTGTACGACAAGCTAGGGGTGCATAGTCAGCTTTTTGGAGGACAACGGTTTGTGCACTGTAGTTGAAGCCGCAATAACAATGGCGTAAGTAGGATGTATGTGTCACCCACATACATATTCTGACGGAAGTAACGAGGGCAAAAGCCGCGGTCCTAATTCATACTTAACACGTCGGCTCAAAACAATAATGATAGGCAGTGTATCGTTGTTGCAGCCTCGCACGTTAGAAAGCGCGTTTGCAGTGAGTATTGAACCCAAACCCAAAAGTCAACCGTCAACATTTTTTGCTAGTATAACCAAACAGACGCGCAGTTTGGTTCGCACCAAAAAATTTCTAGATGGAAGTAGGACTCGGTCACCGTTCACTTTGAGAGTTGGGGGGGGGACAGTACGTGCTGTAAAAAATGTAAGAGTATGATAAGAAGGACGATGAATATGTGGAAAGGTGAGGTGAGGTGGGGGAGAGACACTTTTCCTAACGTCTTTTGGAACCAGAAACTGAGGGAGTAAATTCATGTTACACGCATAACTTTTTTTCAGGTTTGTGTATCAAAAAGGTAAAAATATAAGGACAAAGGGTAACAAATGTGACATGCATGTTGAGCGCTGAGACTGGTGGCAGAAGT